ATCTGTGCGCCCATAAGTCCCACTCTACCACTGACGTTTTCAACCATCTATGCGCCCATAAGTCCCACTCTACCACTGAACTTTTCAACCATCTATGCGCCCATAAGTCCCACTCAACAACTGACGTTTCCAACCATCTTTGCAGCTATAAATCCCACTCTACCACTGACGTTTTCAATGGAGAAGTGCACAGGGAAGGAGACTAGCTAGGGCGATTAAATACAATTTTAAACAGTGTTATGAGACAAAAGGCCAGAGTAATCCTCTAGGGTACCCTCATCTTCCTCGAAGCTCTGTCTAGGTCTGCCACCTTGTTCAGTCCGACGATCTACAGCATTTGTAATAATAGTATTGTATTTACCCCATTTATATTACAGGTATTGACTCTTTTTAACACTATCTGTGAATGATTATTTCCTAGATATCTGTATCAGGTATCTCTTTTGGCACGCGAGGCAATCTGTGTATAGAAACTCTGTAACGAGAGTAAACAGTACATCTGCCGACGTGTACAAAGACTTATTTATCGACACTATACTATTAAAACATTTTGCTTTCGTTTCTAGTTGGCAGATCATCTTCAGACACCTCTAACCACTCAGTAAAAAGTCCTCGGATTTCTTTCGCAGAAGCATATCTCTCAAACTGGAGCGTATTCTATGTAAAAGTTTTAGAACGAACTATTAAGGCAATGTACAAATACACATAAACACACGCACACACAAATGTACCTATCTCTAACGAGGTTAGGGAGACTCAGGTTCGAATCCTTGGTAAAGTTATGAAACTGTTTCTGTCAGCGCAAAAATTAAACTATAACCCACACACTCCATGGGGACAGCACTAGCCATGCGGCTTTAGATACCCAGGCTCAAAGACCACCCACTTCTCCACATCCCACACCACCCACGCCTAAGCTGCAAAAATGGTAAATACAAATATTAATAGCAGTTATTTAAATACGTTTAACCTATAGGCTCACAACTACATAGAAACATAATTTATCCCGTCTTTGATGTGCATAGAAGATAGCTTTCATGTTTTATGTGACAACAATATGAAGGTAGAACCTTTCAGAAGCACTAGAACATTTCACTCAAGTTAAATAACCTCTTCCTTTTCCTGGTGAACTTCAAAACTCTTCTCACGCATACATGCTTTCTTCGCTTGGCATGCTTCGGTCAAGCTGCGCAAACTGTACTCTCTCTTCGCTTTGACACTCGATTTGTTCACACATACATTATGCTTAGTATTCAATACCACACATTCGGATTATCATAAGTAATTTACAAATATTAACAACAAAGGAGAAAATAGCCCAGTACAACCTTCATGTCGTTGTTGACATAAAAGGCATTCACAAGCAATCTGCTTTCTTGATTGTTTAGCACGTCCTTTTTAGGATGAAATTTTTCATTATTTGAAACCCTACCCTGGCTTTTGCCAGGGGCCGCAATATAGCCTGGCCATGAATATGGCCTAAAGGCTGAATGCGGTTTCTGGCACCTATCCATGGTGATCCTCAGCAACGTGGTGGCACATTGTGTCATCGTGTGTTTATCGCTTGTGCGATGTCCTGGTGGGGTACAAATTCAGTCAGTCAGTCAATCTGCTTTCTGTTAACTACTTTTCTGTCTATGGTTATTTCGTAATTAAACAGTGGATATTTTCAGTTCTTGAATTCAGGATTCATAAACACCTGACTTTTATGTTCATGCTACATTTCCACTCCTTCATTCGATAAAAATTGGGCTCAGATTGAATTTAAAAATAAAGAAAACTGAACACAGGCAATCAGAAGAAGGCAAAAAAGTAGCCATGGGGGGGGGGGGGGGGGGGGGGGGGGGGGGGTGGGGGGGGGGAACAACATTCCCTAGTCACCTTCACACCTTTTTACGAAGAAATTGGAATCAGTATGCGACCTTTAATCAACACACTGACACGACACTGATTTATGGTTCGTTAAAAAACTTATTGCGAACTTAAACAGAACTCTTCACTTCTGCTGAAGACGAGGACAAGTGGGCTACAGAAACGTTTGCAGTGCTGTGATGTCGGTTCTTGTCTCTGTTTAACTCAGCACATCTTGAGGATTAAACTAAAGACTGCAAAATAATGACTGAAGTGAATTATGATTGTCTAACAGCTGTTCTCTGTTTGTTTGCGTTCACTGTCTGTTAATTCCGGCGGAAAGTCCCAGTTATCGTCTGTTTCTGAAATTCGTGTTTGTTCTAGGACATGAATGCGTTTTGCATGCGCGACCGTTATACAGAACTGTAGTCAGCAGAGCTTGCCCGCTGTTTGTTGTTTCTTTATCTATTGGGCCGATGCACTCCAGCTTCGAATGAGACGTCGATCCTATCTCTATGATGACTGGCCAGTCTGAACCTTTTAGCTGAATGACTGTCAATACGACTCTCGAACTAAAGACATTTAAACCTTTCTCATTCAGGAGGTTCGGCCTGTGGTACTCGCTCATTGTACAATGGGTTCTCTTTGTATGCTACGACCCAACACTGCATCTCTTCGAAATCCCTAAGGAAGGCATAGGTCATTTTCCCTAGGCTCACTGTGAGGTCATGTGGCAGGAGTCTGGCATGAGGTTTTGTAAAACAGGCACACAAAATGATGGCTTCCTATGCGAGGTACTTCTAGCTTAACTTTCCCTCACACCTGTAATCAAAATGGCGGCGCCCTCTTGTGCACTCTAAAGTAACCACTCTGTTGATATTTCCTGTACCATTAATTAAAGCGTTTTTTCCGTTTTAAACTGTTAAATCTATGGTGTTTTATATGTTGTAAAAATATGAAATCTTTCGGCAAAAGTAAATAGTTGGACATGTTATCTTGTATAATAAATGTCTTTGCTTAATGGTGACCACACCTCGATGTCCTCTGTCATTTGACGCTCTCGTTCTGCACCTCATCTCCCCCCCCCACCCCCAATTTATCCCATTTTCAAATCGGCATCCAGGCGCATTTTTAAAAATTGATTCTGGCTCCCATGTCGACCTATCATAAAATTGGTGCAGGGAAATGTCATGGGGGAAAAAGGCGGCCGGTATGATGTTGATCACACCCCCTGTAGAGTGCCGATTGATTTATAAAACAAATATGGGTCTAGCACAATATGATCAATAGTGACCCCTAGGAAAAGTCTTTTACTTTTTTTTTCTGTAAATCTCTTTATTGGCGTTGATTATTTTGTTGCTTGACCTGATCTAAACCTTGTTTTTATCACCGTTTATTTTGTTCATTTGTGTCACTTGTATATTTGGCTGGGTTAGAATTTCCACATGTCACTTACTTTTCCCATCTTTGTGACGTTTTCTTGACCACCGACAGATGTACAGTAAACCATTTCTTTACATGTGTTTCTCTACCCCATGATCTCGAACCAAGAAAAAAAAAAGCATCTTCTCTTTCCACTTCCTCTGTCTCTATTCCGTTCCCCTTTCTTCTTGTCACGACGTATTCCCATGGCTTGTTCAAAGAATGTGTGTTGTATACAGGCCCTTTATTAGGAGATAGGACACCCTGGTGCAGTCATTTATTTTACGCCTCCTCCTTTTATCTAAACTAACTGTCAGCATCGCTGTTTGTTTACAGACTACGGACAATCAGTTACGGAATTATTTACTGCTTTAGTAAACTTATTTAAACTTAACTGATTGCACAATATATATTTTTTAATGTGTAAGTTAAAAATTAATACATTATTCTGAAAATCAAACTACATGTAAACACATACAATAATCATTACACACTAAAACACAGACACACACTGTCCTACACACGAGAGGCATACACATTCACATAAAAAGGCCAGTACAAACATTCGGATATCAAACTAGTTATAGGTACCACTACCTGGCAGAAAAAGTGGCTAAATCTTTGTAGCATAAAAAAATAGCTAATACTGAATAACCTGAGGTAAGAAGAAACTTCAACCATCGAGCGATTTAACTTGTTTCGTTTCACTGTGGAAAAATATTTGTAAAATTTTTATACTTGGGTAGATTTTGATTAACAGCTAAGAAAAGTTAGTTACTAAAACCGTCATTTCATCTATACTGCGTTCGTTTATAAATAATACAGATTCGCAGAATGTTCAAATCAAAATGTCATTTGACAACATTTAATCATATATACAATAAATTAATTAGCTAGTCAACAGTTGCAATTAAAAATGAAGAAATTAGAATAAGATCAGGACTGAAACCTGACATTGTCATCATTATGTGCCCTGCCAAAAAACCTGACATTCAGTTCGTTAAAGAACAAGGATGGAACAGAGTGCCCATCTGACTGGAATGCCCCGATACCAACTGCCAAAGAGCCAAGTTGAAGAAATGTAATTAACATTAGCAAGGGAAGTCTACGAGAATTTTTTTTTTAAAGAACATCTATAAAATCAATATAGAAATGAAGATCAACTTATGCAACGCATCAGAAGACCCTCAACCCCCCCCCCCCCCCCCCCCCCTTTTTTTTCACATCAGAAGAACCTTACATCTCTAATTCCTTAAATATATATACAAGCAGATAACTACAGGAGAAGGAGAGCGTGAAGAGGAAGCAGCAGCAGCAGCAGCAGAAGAAGAAGAAGAAGAAGAAGAAGAAGAAGAAGAAGAAGAAGAAGAAGAAGAAGAAGAAGAAGAAGAAGAAGAAGAAGAAGAAGAAGAAGAAGAAAAGAAAAAAGAAAAAGAAAAAGAAGAAGAAAAAAGAAGAAGAAGAAGAAGAAGAAGAAGAAGAAGAAGAAGAAGAAGAAGAAGAAGAAGAAGAAGAAGAAGAAGAAGAAGAAGAAGAAGAAGAAGAAGAAGAAGAAGGAGGAGGAGGAGGAGGAGGAGGAGGAGGAGGAGGAGAAGAAGAAGAAGAAGAAGAAGGAGAAGAAGAAAAAGACGGGGAAGACGAAGAGAAAGAAGACAAATAGGAGACGGAAACATGAAAGAAGAGGACTAGGAGGATGATTATTATTTTGTTTTTATTTCCATTTTCAGAGACATCAAGCCTGACAATATTTTGTTGGATGAAGAAGGTATGAACTGCAATGACTCTGTCATTTTTTGTGTGTTAATTTCGCTGTTGTCGTGTGTCGTGTTGTGTTGCCATCTTAATTTTTATTGTGCTAAGTATTTTTAGTTTGCACGCAGTATCATCAAGAGCTGTGCCTGTTGGCTGTGGCGATCATGCTGTCTCCAGTTATTGCCATAGTAAAGAGTATTTATACAAAAATACAGTGTACTAACTCAGATGCTACTATTTGTTTCTTTTTCTTCTTCTTCCTCTTTCATATTCAATATTGTATGAGATTAAGAACTCCCATGAGCTTCGTTTGCCTCTCAACACAAAGCCATGTGTATAGATTATTATATCACCTGGACGGGAATTTTCATGAATCGTATATCGAACCTCTGATTCTGCAGCGATTGCAGCCAGTCCCTGCACTCATGGGCTAGTACGATCAGAACCCTACACAGGTCTCACATTTTCTGGAATATTCTGAATCACTCCTCTCCTCGCCCAATTTTATCAAGCCTACATATGTGTCTAATTGTGTCCTCCGCTTGGCCATCCAAGACCTTCGTCTTTTCAGTTTGTGACCCTTAGCTCTGTTTCGGGCAGCAGCTCTCAACCTGTGGGTCCCGACCCCTTTGTTGGGTCGAACAACCCTTTCACAGGATTCGCCAAAGACCATCGCAAAACACATATTCACTGAATTTAGGAAGTAGTAACAAATATTTTTGTATGGTTTGGGGTCGCCACAGCACGAGGAACTGTATTAAAGGGTCGTGGCATTAGAAAGGTTGAGAACCACTGTTCTAGGGCTTTATTGTGTTTTTATCTGCAGTGACTCTGAGATGTGACTTAGCTTGCAACTTTTTGAGCCTACCTGTAATAGTCAAAGGTGCAAGTATACATCGCATACATACTACATACCCGTTCAACCCCCCTTGCCCCGCCCCCCCCCCCCTTTTTTTTAAATTTCTTTCTGGATTCTGTTCTTGAAACTAACAGATGATGAATTCAAGAAGGGAGAACATACATCCCTGTAACATTCATTTGTTGACCATGAAAATGTTGTACAGATCATCTTGGGTTTTTACCATGCTGTATCTCATGTAGTGCCTGGATATTCATCAGTTAATGAAGGCAATGTCACTCACAATCCGTCTGCGGATTTCCGGAGCGAGGCCTTTAGCGGCTGCCATTGACTCTAGGTCACTTCTCGGTGTGCTTGACCCGATCGTCAACAGTCTGTCACAGAAGTCACTCAGGTTTGAAACTTCTTATTCTTTTCATACACTTGCTGAACTAACAGGCACAGATCACCACAATGGACCTTCACTCGCCGATTAATTTCTACAGGTTTCACCTTCGCTACTCAAAAACGGATAACATAACTCTGCTCCTCTTTGGTGCATGTCAAAAGTGGGGCTGCTATCTTTAAACTGGTATTATAATGTCACCGTGTTTGTCTGCGCCGTGATGTCCTGTTCTTAACACTCTTGGCGTCCTTAACAACAATACTGACAGCTTACAAAACCATTCGTGCGGCCTAATAGTATTACTAAAAGTCCCACCTAGTAATTGCGCTAAATGTCACGTGTGTTCTTTTCCTGTCATTGAATGTGTACTAACAAATTGTCGCTACTAATAGAATTATCGGAACGTATTTTCCCCCCTGCTGTATCCTTCGGTGGAGGATAGTCGCCCAACCAACTTGCGCAATCGGTTTACTGTACAGTTGACAGTTTCAGCTATTTCCATGTGTACACAAACCCGAGACTTCTGTGGTTGCCCTTAAACGGACTACTGGTGCATTATGTTGCGGTTTACAGCTAGACTGGGGTATCTTCCCCCTTTCGGCCCAGTAAAATCCGATTTCTGCATACCTATAATTAATCGTTCTTTACAACATGCTATTACGATGTAGTGGGTCTCTTCTCCATCTTCACCCCCACATCCACTCCGGCTCTGGAACCAACTCCACGAAAACTGTGAAGACTAACCCGGTGTTATTGTGTCTTTCTTTCCTCTTTCTTAGCGCTGACCAGCTCTAAACTTGGGCGGAATGTCCAGGTTGTTCATCCACTTCTGGGCTGTAGTCTTGTTCCGCAACTTTATTTTTGCGTGCACATCTGGTTTAAAGATGTCACTAATTTGAATGCAGACTGTTAGCCCCTCTTCTTTCAGGCAAATGCACTCCGACTTTGAATAAAAAGCCCTAATTAATCACCTTTTGCGACATGCTTGTTGGCTTCCAAATGAGACCGCTGAACTCACATACAGGGGGTCGATGTTTTAACACTTGTGAAGAAACAAAGAACTATCAAATTGTAGTCCAGAATTTCTTTTTACTACCTTTACAAACTATACTTTGTAAAAATGGGCGACATTATCTATCTATCTATCTATCTATCTATCTATCTATCTATCTATCTATCTATCTATCTATCTATCTATCTATCTATCTATCTATCTATCTATCTATCTATCTATCTATCTATCTATCTATCTATCTATCTATCTATATCTATCTATCTATCTATCTATCTATCTATCTATCTATCTATCTATCTATCTATCTATCTATCTATCTATCTATCTATCTATCTATCTATCTATCTATCTATCTATCTATCTATCTATCTATCTATCTATCTATCTATCTATCTATCTATCTATCTATCTATCTATCTATCTATCTATCTATCTATCTATCTATCTATCTATCTATCTATCATCTATCTATCTATCTATCTATCTATCTATCTATCTATCTATCTATCTATCTATCTATCTATCTATCTATCCTATCTATCTATCTATCTATCTATCTATCTATCTATCTATATCTATCTATCTATCTATCTATCTATCTATCTATCTATCTATCTATCTATCTATCTATCTATATCTTATCTTATCTATCTTATCTTATCTTATCTTATCTTATCTTATCTTATCTTATCTTATCTTATCTTATCTTATCTTATCTATCGTCCGTCCGTCCGTCCGTCCGTCCGTCCGTCCGTCCGTCCGTCCGTCCGTCCGTCCGTCCGTCCGTCCGTCCGTCCGTCCGTCCGTCCGTCCGTCCGTCTGTCTGTCTGTCTGTCTGTCTGTCTGTCTGTCTGTCTGTCTGTCTGTCTGTCTGTCTGTCTGTCTGTCTGTCTGTCTGTCTGTCTGTCTGTCTGTCTGTCTGTCTGTCTGTCTGTCTGTCGGTCGGCCCGTCCGTCGGTCGGCCCGTCCGTCGGTCGGCCCGTCGGTCTGCCGGTCCGTCGGTCTGCCGGTCTGTCTGTCTGTCTGTCTGTCTGTCTGTCTGTCTGTCTGTCTGCCTGTCTGCCGGTCGGTCGGTCTGTCGGTTCGTCCCTCTTCCGTCCGTCCGTGTGTCTGTCTGTCCGACTGTCTGTCTGCATTTTTGTTGATTAACGAGGATGAGGAATAGTCATGGTATGAATGACTATAGTGATGTCAGTTGTTGAATCCTTCAGTCTTTTACTTTCCCTATTTCATCGCAGCTCACCGGTTTTATTTCTTCAAATGAAAGGGACAAAACAACAGGATCTTGACAGATAGAAAAGGTTTGAATACAAAAAAAAAAAGAAGAAAACAGGTGAACAGAATAAGTGTCTCCAACCGGTGAGCAGACAATGTCACTACATCTGTCACTGTGGAAGCGAAATGTCATTACCATTGATTTGTGTCTTATTAAACAAGCAGTCCAATCTGTTCGCGCGGAAATTAATCACCGTATGTGACACGATGTGGGCAGGAAGCGTGGCGGAGAATTAAATTATGTTTTTTTTTATAGATAAAAACAATAATGAGACCAGAAAGATGAAATTGTAGTGAGTTTCAAATTGAGATGAACAAGATTATGTCACCAAGAATTTGTTGCTTACGGCTATTGCCCGGCAAGCTGTTTGTTACTGGCTATAATTATTGAGTTGTGTGTTACAAGATATGGCTGTCGAGTTGTTTGTTAGTAGCTATAATTATCGAGTTGTGTGCTACAAGATATGGCTGTCGAGCTGTTTGTTAGTAGCTATAATTATCGAGTTGTGTGCTACTAGATATGGCTGTCGAGCTGTTTGTTAGTAGCTATAATTATCGAGTTGTGTGCTACTAGATTTGGCTGTCGAGCTGTTTGTTACTGGCTATAATTATTGAGTTGTGTGCTACAAGATATGGCTGTCGAGCTAGGCTTGTTTTAAAATATATAGCTGACTTTTGTCGAAAAGTTTTTAACTGTTTCCTTTACCAGCCATTTATTATATTGTCCTCTCCTCTCTCCACACCTTATTGATGTTACTGCATCAGATCTCATTACGGATGCATGGACCCCGTACCTTCGGCAAGGACTTAGATTATAAAATCTGCAGCCACATTTAGAGCATACTGTCGTAAAAGTTGATTAATATCAATCCTGTAGTGAGTGCCCTTGTGCTGGAAAAGGGGGGGGGGGGGGAGGGGGAGAAAAGAAAGGGGGACGTAACGTCCATTAACGCGTTGTTCCTATAATATCATGACCACTTTCATTGTCGACTATGCGCGCTCCCTTTCACCCCATTGCCACGCAGTTCTTCGGCATGCTGGAAACACCTTGAACTTAAGAACTCCATGCATGACCACACAGTATGCTGCCATATACAGTAACAGTCAACTCTAGCCATCATTTTTTATAGACAGACTGGTGGATGACGAAGAGTCCCTCACTTTTAGCTTACTAAGTGGCATGTAAGTAAAGTCTGGAGAAGAAGTCTATGCAACTTTCAATATCAGTATAGGATATGTTATAATCGATTTCCGTAGAAATGCCTCGGGTTGACTGATCACGCCTAAGATGATCGACTTCAGTGTCCCGAGTTGTATCTCTTTAGGCGCAATCTGTCTCCACATATGGTGCTTGCCTTCTGAAACCAAGGCAAAAAAAAAAAAAAAAAAAAAAAAAAAACTCCAGAGTAACCCCCAAGAATTTTCTAAGCACCTACACCTAAGAAGCTATGGAATGGGTCTGAAACCAAAATCACAAAT